AGAATTGGATTTTTCATTAATGTTTTTATTGAAGAAAACCATTTCATACATTTATGAACTTTCAAATTTGAAAAATTGAATAATAATAAGTACAAGTTCTAATTTCACCTTTCTTCTTCTTCATCATCGTCTTCCAGTCGCTGTAAAATTTCAAATTCCTCATCATCAACGAAATTTGTCTCCAGTTCTTCCAGGATTTCAGGGTTAAAAGTACCGTCTTCATTGGTAGTAAATTACCAAAAACGACTCTCCTCGATAGGAAGACCTAACAGATTGTCTCTGGTCTGGATTCCTTTTCTGCATCCAAACTGCGAACTACAACTATTCTTGAAGTTGAAGAATATTGTGTTAAGCAATTCCTACGGAGCTGGTGGATTCATTGTCATAACAGGTTATAGGAATTCATCACACATTATCCAACTCCAATACTGGGGTTCTAAATCATGCCCTAACCAAGTCTGAACTTGATAATGAAAACAGTTGAAATGTTGGGGAGCTGCTGCACTCATTAGAGGAAGATTTGATAACTGCACAGGTTTATTCANATCTCAGCATCAAAAGGCCCGCAAAACTTCCTAAATTCCTCATGGACGTTCATATCACAATTTTTCCCCGCTATCTCCAGAGCTACGCAAGGCCCATCCAAGAAACTGAGCAGCAAAGCATTGTAGTCGCTCACAACGCCTTTGTAGACCTCCAAAAATTCGTCAGCGTTGGCGTTGCTCAAATGGAACATCTGAGCAGCAGTGACCTTGAAGTGTGAGTCGGTAATGGACGTAATAATGTTCCCCAGGTTTCCTTCGTGGATGGCGTGGGGTTTGATAACACAGCAAGTGGTGTTTTTCAGAAGAATGGTGGACTGCGGCTTGTTCGCGGAAAAGAAGAAGCTCGACTCTTTGATAGCGCTTTCCGGAGACGCCGAACCATGGAAACCACTCGTAGCGTGGGAATCCTTGCCGTAGATTGCTCTAAGGCTATTTGGAGCTACTTTCCTGGCTTCTATTGGATCACTAGGGCCCATGAGCTGTCGCCATCGTTCTATGGCGTTTTCTCCCACTAACTCCACTGCTGCCAGCGGCCCCGACACTATTTGCTCCAAGACGAAAGGAAGAGAGGTTTCCCCCTTCCGATCCTCGTAGAATTCCAGGGCCTCCTTCCTACTGAGAACGCACATGCGGAGTTTGGCTATCTGGAAATTGTTGTCTTGTATGCGGTTGATTATCTCTCCCAGCTTATCAACCACGTTAGGCTTCAGTATGACAACCTGGTAAAAAAAAAGCAATTGAAAAACTGTAGATAAGCGAGGTAAAATGGTGAAATCTGAGTTTTAAAGTTAGTGGACATTTTTGGTTGTCCTTCAGTTAAGTTAACTTTTTGAAACGTCCTAATTCGCTTAATTTTACATTGAATTTGATAGTAATAACATCTCAAATGTTAACACTTTAATCTTTCATAAACGTAATGTGAATGATCACATTCTGTCCCTCAGTGCATTGTATTTGTATGATATTTTTAAAGTTTCTAGAACTACTGAGAAGGTATAGAATATCTGAAGATTTGTAGGACACATTCGAGATGGATAATATTCGCAACAAATAGTTTCTGGTACACTTTTGAAAATTTTTGAAGTATTTTAATGTCTTCTCCAATTGGTATGGAGATGTATTTTCCTAAACATGACTGTCTTAAAATTTGATATGGCGATTCCTTCGTAGATCTAATGTACCACTTTCAAAATTGGAGGGTAAGCTAGCCTTTTGAATGAAGTGACACCATCAGCAAAGTATCTATATTTAGTTCCTGAATGGTACCTACTGTATATAGATATGACACCTACAAAGTCTTTCATCTAGAGGAACAAACAAATGCTTTCTTCTTCGCGAGGGTAACAGCTTCAACTCACTTTTGATATAGCAGGTGTATAACGGTGTTTTTGCAGTCACTAGTTAATCTAAATTCACAAATTTCAGAGCTTTAAGGAGAGTTTGGCTTCCTGATGAAAGACTCGTAAAGATCACTGTGCTTCCAATACATCTTTCGAAACACCCCCGAGTACAGACCCCTTTAGGATGCCTAGAAGATACTTCAGAATTATTTGAAGAGCTTCAATTTTTTTTCTCTTCCAATCCCAAGGTAACCTCTTGAATCATTTATCAGTATTTCCTATACCAATGAATTCTCATATTCTCGACAGTTATGGCTGGTACGAAGGATCTGTTTGTTGCGTATTCATGACTACCTCAAATTTAATTTTGAAATGGTGCCCGACCCGCATAACTGTGGGGGTTTAGTGAGGAAATGGGCACACACTTAATATATCCAAAAATCTTCAGATTTCCTGTTTTCATGTTAGCGGTTTGATGAAACCTGAATGTTTTTTTTTTTTTTTTTGCACTCAACATCCCCTTAGAAAATCTGACGCGCTCGATTTTTTTCACTTTTAACCCTTACGTACAACCACCCGCATCATGCAAACGATCAGATTAACATACGAACATTATTGAAAATACGTAGGACATTGATGCTATCAATATCTGACGCGCTCGAGTATGTTCGTGCAACAGTATTTTTTACATTTTTAAAAATCTATAGCCTCTTCCGCCACCGATGAAAAGATATATATTATATAACATTTTTCTCTTCTTATCATCTGAGCTTTGCAACCTTACGCTCGAGTAAATCCCCATTTCGCATCGTGGGCTCCCTTACTGTAGATTAAAATTTCCAAAACCTGGAAACATATAAACGAAAAAAAAGTTTTGATAGCTTAGTTGCCTAAATTTCACCTTCAGAAATTATCCATTCACAAGACAGACTATGTTACAAAAATTCTAGGATTGTACCATTGTTCGAAACTATTTTCATAAATTTTTCAATTAAGCATGCTTTACTCACTGTCCTTTGTTTGGCTTTTCCGATGTATTTTTGTGTGCGACAGTCGGCACAGTCTGTGATTTTGATCTGCCTGCCGTAAATTCTCACAGTATTACCGACGAACATATCGTCCAATGCCAGTTCTTCTATTCTGGTACGTTTCAGGTACATTTTGTTCAACTCCCTGTCGAAGATGTCCACAGTATTGTCGCTTGGGTAGTAATTGAGAATGAACTTTTTATGGTAAGATAATCCGTAGTCGAACCATTCTGCCAGGAACGAGAGCTTGTCATTGAAGTCGTAAGTTGCTTTGGCCATCTTGGTGATCTGGAACAAAATGTCTCATGGAATTGAAGTTCGGCAAGTGGTGACAATCTGTCAAGGACCTTGTGACAATCAATTAGGTATTGTCTACAGTGTGTCTCTATCTTGAAGGAAAACTCTTTTGATTTTGATGAAATTTTCAAGATTCCTTCAAAGTAGCCCAAAAGAATATAGGATATGACCTGTGTGTTTAAGAAAAATCAACATCAACTGTACATCAAACTGTTAATGATTTTATCTCTTCTTATTCAAATTATGAGGTTTTCGAGAGTTACATATTTCAAAAAACAGCAATAAAAATTTCATGTCAGTATCAAAGACACTGGAGAAATATAATTTGTTATCCATGTTTACAGCTATATTTCATCATGGTGAATTTTGTATAAGTTTCAAAGTAGGAAAAATAAGTGCATATACAGGATGGAGTCAATCATAACCTATTGTGATCATTGAACACTGCAGTTTTAGAAAGGGGGGTAAAACAAAAAAGTTTAGGTTCTTCTTAAATGTTCTGGAGGCCGTACAACATGGAAAAACCACTGGAAATAGAAAGCTGGGATGCCTATACATCATAGGTATTTGATGCCTTATTAATTAAAATAATGTTGTGTGGAATACTTTTGAAAATTATTAATAATGACATCATTTCTATTTTCATGAATATCAGGGTCGTGATAACGAAATGATAATCTGCTTCTCACCTACTAGATGCATTTTTAATTCAACGTAGTCAAACAAAAAAACAAAATAATTGTGGCGTACCTATCATTTTCATTTTTTGTTTTATATTGTGGGACTATTTATTCTGTTTTTTGAGACCTCTATCATATGCATCGCGTCTATTTGTCAACTTTTTCAGAAGATATTGAAGTTGTTCAGAAGATGTTGAAGTTGTTATGAACAGACTTAGCAGATTCAATTTCATTCTGTCGAATATAAAAATAAAGTTCTAGGCCTTCTGTATTAGTGACTTTACATGTGATTCATCGCTACATTTAATCTCGTGATTGTCGATCCTATGTTTGATACTATATATGCGTATTTGATACTATATATGTAGACATATTTAGGGCCATGAGGAAAGAATAAAAAAATAGATTCTCCTAGTTCAAAAAATAAGACCTTATGGACATATATTTATAAGATTTTTTCTCGAGATCTACTCTGAAAACATTATCTTATCATTAATTTGAATTTTTTAAGAAAGATCTATAAAGAATTGTATTTTATTGAAAATACATATGTATAAGTATAACGTCAAGTCATACCTTGTATTCAATCAACATTTTGGAGTTGAGATACTAAAATCAATATTCAAAGTAATTCCAAGTCATCAAGACTCCTGCCACAGTAATCATAAAATGTACCTAAATGTGAAAAAGTGAAATTACTGTTTTGAGAAAGCAGTCTTTGGAAAAATTTGTGGGAAATTGCAGGGTTCCTTTGGTAAGGCTACATTTTATAAACTGGATATTAAAGTACTTACCTTAAACAAGTACAAATTCGTGTCCAGTAGGAATTAATTTCTATTATTACTATACATATTCGAATATAGGTACATACATTCTTGAAACCTGCTAACAAACAAAACAACTCATTTCGTTGCTATGGGTACATGAATGAAATGCACGCAGAGACTGGCATATGCCGTACTAATCCTAACTATCAACGTCAAGTAGGTATACCACCTATACAGACCAGTACTTGTAATATTTGTTTTGGTTCTTATGGTTAATGTGTATTTCAGAATATATCTCTCCATATTCTATCAGAAGTATATGTTGTAGGTAAATTTGTTGTGTTTTATACACTGTGTCCGTAAAGTATGAAACAAATTCATTTTTAGCTAAACAGGTCATTCTAAGAAATAATCCTGAAACACGTCGATTTTTGATGTTAATTTACCGTATTTTAAAATAATAATCTAATATACA